TGAACTACAATTCGCTGTGTGTAATATAGCAATTACTGGAAGCCAGTCCTATTTTGTCCTATTTTACATGAGTGTTCAGCTAATGAGTTGGCGATACACATCTACCCTTTGCATCAGTGGACTGAATAATGACCATAGCATTCTATGCGGGGATGTAATCAGCAAGTTTGTGGCTAAATTTACCAAGATTGTGCATCCCATAATAATCACTGTAATTACAAAAGGTGTGGTTCAGCTTTTATCACTACATCACTTGTGTAGAACAAACACTAAACAGGGTCACATAAACTAGGACATTTGAGGATGTGCCTTTGAATGTGCTATGTAGAGGTTGTGTATGTAAGGTGATATCAGGCAAAAGGGGGTCCTCTAAAAACTCACAAAGGGGAGGGGATATTTCAACAGCAGCGTCTGAACACAATAGAGCGTTTCAACATGTCCTCTTCATGGACAGCATCCTGTAGGCATGTGTGCGGATTCAAGGGCAAAATTTGTTTAGAGTCAAATGTATTTAAAGGTGATGGACACAACGGGACATGTGTCTGGGCCATGTTAGCCAGAGGTTGATAATGAAAAACGGAAAAAAGACTTTTTATCACACCTTTACTTTTTGATAAAGGTGTGACCAAAGGGTTTGAAAAAACAATAATTCTGTGTGGTTGACTTCACAGAATTGGACTTTTTCAGTTTATTTTTTGAACAATAATTTATTTGGATGTAGACCAATCTAAGTCTGAATGACCAGGAAAAAACAACTGAAATCCGTTCCTAGTGCTGTGCCACCTACACACAAGCGGCCCCATTTGCTCTTCTCTGATTGGCTGAATCTGAGATGCGGTGAATGGTGATTGGAGCAAAGTTTTAGATTTTAGCAGGAACCTTTAGTGTGGTTCTTTAAATGAAAAGTTGCGAACTCAGAGAACACACATTTCAAAAGGCAGACAGAGGGGTGAGCAGCGTTGTTGCCAGTATATTTTACGGATACCTGAACCATGCTCGCCGCGTGCCTGGAGTTCCTCGGGTTGGCCCTTTGTGTAGCCGGCTCCCTGCTGGTGATGATCGCCTGTGGGCTGCCGATGTGGAAAGTTACGGCTTTCATCGACTCCAACATTGTGGTGGCTCAAACCATTTGGGACGGTCTTTGGATGTCCTGCGTGGTCCAAAGCACTGGTCAGATGCAATGCAAAGTGCACGACTCCGTCCTGGCCCTCACCCAAGACCTTCAAACGGCCCGCGCGCTCACTGTGATCTCCGCTGTGCTGGGGGTGATCGGGCTCACTGTCACTATCGCAGGAGCACAGTGCACCAACTGCATAAAGGACGAGATGGTGAAGGCCAAAGTGGTGAATGCTGGTGGGATCATCTACCTCATCAGCGGGCTGTTTGTTCTCGTGCCCCTCTGCTGGATGGCCAACATCATCATCGTGGACTTCCATAACCCGCAGATCCCCCCGTCCAAGAAGAGGGAGATAGGCGCATCCATCTACATCGGCTGGGCGGCCGCAGCACTGCTCCTGCTGGGGGGGACGCTTCTGTGTTGCTCTTTTTCACAGGGAGTCAGAGGATCATTTCCCATCAAATACACACCTACTAAACCGATCTCAGCCAACGGAGACTTCGATAAAAAGCACTATGTATAAAAATATATTTCCATGTGGCCTACACACAAAAGACATTTATTTTTGATTACGTGTTCAGTCAATCCTCTACACTTGGGGTGTCCAAACTGTTTTTTTCACCAAGGTCTGCATCTACAAAGATATTTGTAGCAGAGTAGTCAGTACAGGGAGACTTTTACATAGATTTGACAGAGCAACAACACCTTTAAAAAGTTTTGAAACACAAATTTTAGGTTTGTATCACAATGCAATGAGGTGTTATTGAGGTGGCAGTACTGCTTCTGATCACTTAGGCCAATTCAGCATCCTGAATTTCAGTCCTTGAAAGCCAACAAAAATTGGTCTGAGGGCCATAGTTTGGACCTGCTTTACAAGTTTGAAACATGGTCTGGGTATCGCATCACAGTGAATGCATCGTGTCCATGTGACCGCATGCTGAAGATACATTTTTATTTATAGTTTTATAAGCTTATGAAATAATACAATTTAAAGCCAAAGATTCTTTTTAAAGTTAGACAAAAATGAATTAGAAGTACAGGACAAGCTAACTCCACATGCCTTTTTTTTTTTTTTTTTTTTGTCAAAGGCTCCAAGTGTTGTGTGATAAGATGCCATCTGTGTTTTGTTGAGTTTGGACCTTTGTCAGCTCCCCATTGTAAAGCTATTGTTTTGTTTGTCCCAGTGGACTCATTAAGTGCATTGCTTTAGATTGTTTCCCACAGTGTTTGTACAGCTGACAGCGAGGCCTGGTCAGACCAATTTACACTCCTGGTGTAATAAAAAGAAATTACTATCCACTTGAATGCATTCACAACTGTATATTATGTTAAAAGTTTAGTTTTGTTTTTAATAAATGTTTTTTTTCTATTAATTGAATTGTATGTGTGTCCTTCAAATAGCTGTCAATGCATAAATATATTGGAAAGAAAAATGTATGCTAATTTGGACATTAAAAAAGGCAGAGCATCACTATTCCTCTGTTCACACACCCTAATAGTAATCACTGAGCACCAGGTCTCTTGAGGGAGGGCCATGGAGCTCTGTTAAAAGTCAATCAGTGACTAGGCTTGTATCTAGAGCAGAGGAGAAATTTGACTTTTTCACAGAACAATACAATACATTTGTATTGTGCCATGATTGATATACAATTTGTGCATAGAGAAAGGCATTTACAAATATTCTTCCTTTATTCTCAGGCTATAATTTGTATTTTTGAGTGTCCAGAAATAAAAATTCAGAAATATATTTCAATATAAGTTTAGACTGCATTTTATTACAGAGTAAAATATTAACAATATTAACATAATTATAAAATTCGTAAGTGTAAATCTTCAAACTAGCGGAAAAAGGCTCAACCTTGCACTCTAGTGGTGAGATGTGGGTATGTCAACCAAAGTATCATTTAAGCAAACTTGTATCTTATATTTGAGGCAAGAATGTCCTTTTTAAATATTAATCCATGACAGCTGTTGACTTGAGGTAACAAATATGGCCATGTGGCCCATTATCATAATCCATCCATGCATTTTCTTCTGCTTATCCAAGGTCGGGTCGCGATGGCAACAGTCTGAGGAGGGCCTCCCAGACTTCCCTCTCCACACACACGTCCTCCAGCTCTTCCAGGGGGATCCCGAGACGTTCCCATGCCAGTCGAGAGACAAAGTCCCTCCAGCGTGTCCTGGGTCTTCCCCGGGGCCCCCTCCCAGTGGGACATGCCCGGAACACCTCCCGAGGGAGGCGTCCAGGACCATTATCATAATAATCTATTTATTTACAATGTCCTTTAAAAAGCTTTGGTTTCACACAAGCTTTTAACCCCTTAACGTCGACCGTCACAAATATGCAACAAACCGTTTGGATCAAGCTATAAGCAGTGACAGCAGCTGTATTCCCCCAATGCCTGTTAGTGCATATGCAGTAGCTTCTTAGGAACATTTGACAAGCACTTGTTTCTAGTTGTTGTAAACTTGCAACATACCCAAATTTAAAAAATATATATTTTTGCTGTAGTCAAATTAATAATCTCAACTTAATTTACCATCTACTTAAAGGCAAAATCACACACAAAACATTTTTTATATACATTCAGGCATAAAGGGGCTATCAGATCAAATTATTACAATGTGTTAATAGGCTTTCTAATTATAAATCACATCCAGTTACCAATGTCATTGTTTGTATTCTTTCAGTATCTGTCCTGCAATTACCAGTCTTTGGATCTCACTGGTGCCTTCATAGATTTCTGTGATACGAGCATCTCGATAATGTCTTTCTGCAGGCATGTCGGTCACATAACCCATTCCACCCAAAATCTGGATTGCCTTAATGTGAAATTGGAGAAAACACTGTATAAATTAAAATGTTCAAATGTCTGGTACCAGCATTTATTTTTTTGTACCTGATGAGAGCAGAAAGTGGCAGCTTCCGATGCGGCCAGCTTTGCCATAGCAGCTTCCTAAGGAAAAAAAGGGCTGTCAAAAAGATATTTATGTGCAGGCTTTGTGGTGACAACTCATTTACCTTTGTAAAAGGTTTTTTGGCATCTCTGAGGAGTGACGCTTTCCATGCGAGCAGACGTGCACTTTCTATGGCTAGGGCCATGTCAGCAAGCTTGAACTAGGAAATATGCATTTGCAAACATTTTAGCATTATTACACAACATACAAAAATGGTTTTATATTGACAACTTATTATTGCAGTGTTACACACTTAATCATAGACAAAAAGGCTTCCTTACCTGTATTGCCTGCAGCCGACCAATGGGTGCTCCAAATGCATTGCGTTTATGTGCATAGTCTGCAGCACAATCTAGTGATGCCTGAGCAATACCGAGAGCCTGGGATGCTATTCCTATCCGGCCACTGTCAAGAGTTTGCTGTATAAAGTTATACAATATATGTTATCTAGGGTCTCAAAAGTGTTGCAGTATTAATAAATTATTTTTATTACCATGGCAATTTTAAACCCAGCGCCACGAGGACCCAGCATGTTTGACAGTGGTATCCTGCAGTCCTCAAGGATAATGTTGGCAGTTGATGAAGCCTTAATTCCCAGCTTATCTTCCTTCTTCCCAAGAGACAGTCCTGGGTGAGGCATCGGGATGAGGAACGCACTGATACCCTAAGATATTGCAGACAGATTTATAACTTGAATTTGTGAACAAATGTAATGAAATTGAATGAATATTAAAAATACATGAAACAATACAGCAATTTCATACCTTATGTTTTAGTTTCTTATCCGTTGTGGCAAATACTACAGTAGCTGACGCATCCCAGCTGTTGGTAATCCAAGCTTTTGTACCATTAAGCACCCACTCTTCTCCCTCTTGGTGTGCCACTGTGGAAGCAGCACCTGCATCACTGCCATTACCTAGAATCGAATGCAAATGTCATTTTAATGTAATATTCATTTGTCCACATACAGGTCTCCCCACGCCTGGAGAGGTCAAGCAACTATGAATACAGTATGAAACATAATTACCTGGTTCACTGAGTGCAAAACAGCCTACTTTCTCTCCTGTTGTAAAAGGTGTTATCCACTCCTTTTTCTGTTCCTCAGTCCCAAATTTCAAAATTGGGCCTATATAAAGTGACTAAAAGAACAAGGACAAACGTTTAATATGTAAGCAAAGATGACCCGCATGGACACACAGATTATATTCTTACATTATTGACAGAGACAATGACCCCAGTGCTGGCACATCCTCTGCTGATTTCTTCCAAGGCCACACTGTATGCAAGATAGTCCATTCCAGCTCCACCCAGCTCCTCTGGTACTTCAATAGCCATTACACCCATTGCACCCAGCTCATGGATCTAGGGGTGAAAACTTGAGTTATAAATAAAATAAATATAGAGCATACACACTCCTTTCCTGCCATCAGCGTCATATATGTTGAAGAGTGTGTCAAATACAAATACAAATGTATACTATTTGTTAAAATTGTTAAACAGGTGGGTATACCTGTTTGACAGGATATAAATGCTCTTTGTCTAGTCTTGAAGCAATGGGTGACAGTTCTCGGTCAGCGTAGTCTCTGCAGGTTTGTTTAAGGATTTGATGCGTCTCTGGTAACTCTGCTAACTGAGACAATCTTCGACAACCATTCACACATGAAGAAAAAACTGTAGAGAAAATAAACACTTATGTCATCAGTAAATTTAGATACATGTGAGTACAAGTGGTATTTGGATAATCCTATGACTGAAGATGACATACAATCTTGTTGCCATTTTTTGCATTATGTTTTGTCAAGGATGCACATATTTGGTTTTAGAAATAACAATATAATAATATTGCAATGTACAACCAGCTGCCATTTCTGAATAATAAGAGCCAGCTGAGGCCGCAGATTGCCCTCAGCAACCAGAAGGGACACAGGGTTATTACGGGTGCAGTAATTCACAAGGTTCACGTTATGTCTAATTCAATGTGATGGAAATGGATCTGACACACACCAAAGTAGTGGTCCAAACCAGGCCGTGTGTTTTGTCTCACTGTTTACATTGTGGATTGTAAATTCATATTTAATATAGAATTGGGTTTGAGGAAATTCAGTTTTGTCTAAAAGGTTTATAAAATGGTGTTATACGAACTGTGACATTTTCCCCACGTTTAATATAGGTGAAAGGTCACCACCAGTCACCTTGTTTGAAACCATCAAAACGGAGACCAAATGAAGCTCAATTTTAATATCATATTTTAGTTAAAGCTAATTCTCCGCTCAAGATTGTTCTTATGTTTAAAAGACAATTAATGTTGTTAGTAACATTGCGTATCCTCGGCTAACCCCGGCAAGCAATTCGTTTAGTTAGCTGTGAAGAGGGAGATCATTTTTTATAAGTGATATTATTATTTGATATGTTTTATCTTAATCGCATATATCTTAGTTTGTGCTATGTATGGTTTTGGCAAGCACACCGTCAACTATATAGCCAGCTAAGCTAACCAAACAAACGTAACAGCTACCTTAACGTTATGCTAGCCAGAGTCAGACATCTAGCTAAAGTTATGTCTACTTTAGTTAAATAACAGGTGGCACCGATAGTCCAGTAGAGCAAGGTAATTATTTAGCTAATATTAAGTATTTACAAACCATACTCTGAGTAATACAGTATATAATGTCAACACACACCTTTTCTTGCTGTAAAAAGAGCAGCCATGGTTCCCACTGTAAATGAAGCAGCTTGCAGCACACGAGCCAGAGGACCCGTGAAGTAAACTGCTGCGTTTGAGGACAGTCAGAAACTCTACATAACTAAAAGCTATTGCACGCAGAAAGTTCAGAAATAATGTGTACCTAGTTATAAATCGTCAGTTAAAGTTCAAAGAACGTGAACTTATATTTTTATTTGTCCATTAATTAAACAATAATACAATGATATAATATGCTTCAGTGCCTTTTGGCAAAATAATTTTAATGTATTTTTCATTCCCACATGATCAATATTAGATTAAAACTTAAGCATACCCAAACAAGAAGATCTTCATTAATAAAGTCTATCCAGCCATGATTGATTCAGATTTTTCATAAGATGTTTATTTTTAAGCACCATTGGATAGATACTTTATTGTTCCCAGAGGAAAATCAGGCATGAAAGTCACTTAATGTTGTCCAGTGTAATGCCCTGATTCTGTCTTTCCTTTGGGATGGAGCAATGACGGTAAAAGGTTTAGGAAAAAAATTTCGAAAAAGCCTTTGAAGAGATAAAAAGATTTGGGAGCTGGTAACGGGACACCAGACTGCCTGTAGATGTCAAATTCACTTGCTGGCAGAGGTGAAGGTGAAGCATCCTCTCTGGTGGAACTGCATGTCTCTGATGCGACGCATGGACTGGATCTGGGGCTGGAAAGCGCAGAAGTCGTTGTAGTGTCTGTAGTCGCCACACTCAAACAGGTACTGGTAGCCTCTGTAGCCAGGGTACTGATAGCCCACCCAACTGTGTTTGACAGAATAGTAAAAATAAGTTAAGATTGTTAGTGTATTTTTAACTACTGACTTGACTGTTCTAATTTTGTGTAGTTTTAGAGGCTTTAAAAAAAAAAACCTTGCTTATCAAATTTCCCAATTGTCGTATCTGTATTTTGCTTTGAGGCAATATCAGCATAGCTTAGTTTAAAATTGAGATTTATTGACAAACACCATGCTGTCATCTTTCAACCTTGTGATGACATGACAGGCTAGTTTTCATGAACCATTACATTGTAGAGTCATTCTAGGCCTGCAGCTTCCTCTAGCAATGTCTAAGCAACATTTATAGAACAGAACTCTGGCTTTATCAGTATGAGCTCCCAGCCTGTGTGATAAAGCCTTTTCTCATCGTCAGACTGTTATAAACACAGACATACTGTTTGACCTTGTGAAAAATGGCATTAGTACAACATTAGCGGCATAAGCTGTATCTACTGCACCAATCACTCTGTACTTACGCTCCTCCAGGCACCCTCACGCTGCCCACTCTGTCACAGAAGCCATGCGCCCAGAGGGTGGGCACATCATCCTCCTGGATCTCCATCTTGTTGCCCTTGAAGTCGGAGAGCTCATACAGGCAGATCTTGTGCTCCATGCTGTCCTGTGGGGGAGACAAGTGTCAATGTTTTGAAGTTAGTTTTGTGATAACAATGCAGATATATTTATAATTACTGATAATAAAAGCATATACCATGCGGATGGGCCTGAGGGACATGAGGCAGTCGCTGCGATAGGAGTTGCTCCAGGTATCCCAGCGAGGATACTCTCCCTTCTCCAGGATAAACATCTCCCCACGGAAGTTACTCTGCTCAAAAGCAACAAAGCTAGAGAAAGAGGGGCACCAGGTGCAGAGGGGGCATAAGTGAGAAGAGAACAAGAAAAAAGAGGGGAGATATCAAGAATATGAGTCATTGGCATACATTAGACTAGTAAACCTGGGTCATGTTTGCGTTTGCTTACGGGCCACACTCCACGATGATACTACGCACTCTATCCATGCCACGGTCACACACGTTCATGCACTCATTCTGGACCTCAATCATCCTGCCCTGGAAGTTCTCCTGGTCGAAGAGCATGATCTGGTAGAGAGAGATGGCAAATACCCATTAGCAGATAACACCTATTTATACCAATTAAACCACCTGTATATAAAAACCCTGTGAAAAACACAGCTATATGAGAAAGCCCTTTACAGTATGGACTGACCTCTACTTATTTTTATTTCAAGTCAGGTGTCTTTACTGAAAGTGTTATTTTGTGTAAAATCCTTTGTCGATGCTGAAGATGTACTCACTCTATAGGATCCCATTCCAGGGTCTCCGGTCTTGGTGGCCTTGCTGGAAGCAGCTGGAGCAGGGGCTCCCTTGTCCTTGGCATCAGTGCCCTGGCTGGAGGCGGACTTGGCAGTCTGAGACATGGTGAGGGGCTCAGGAGAGTCTTAACAACAAATAGATGCAGAAATAAATGAATAAAACAGTGGGAGTTCATGATGTTTGGGGATTTTAACATTATTATGGGCAATTTCCCACTGGAGGAAAGCGTGTCTCAGTACGGCCTGGAGGGAATGAGTGGTCACCCTTGCAATACATTTCATGTTATGGCGTGTGTCTGCATGTATTCTTACCTGCGTTAGTATAGCTTGTAGTGCCGTATTAGAGTGGCTGTCTCGTGCTGGTCCCTTCAACTCGCTACACAAGCTTTTATACTCTGGCAAAGGCCAAACCTGGAGGCTCAATGCACAATGAAAAGGCTCTCGTCATCATAGTGGCCAACACCAAAGCCACGGGTCATCATGAAACCCAGAAAACACTGCTGGCCTCTCTCTAGCCAGCCTGTAAGCATTTCACAGTCAAAAGAAACTACTGAGTAATGCATTTTCTCCATGTGTGGCAGGGCTCAAGCTGTAGTGCATGTAGAAAAGTGGAATGTAGAGGTAATCCTTCCTCTGTGTCACCAACACAACTATTCTTCTACTATTCCTGATGATTATCTTAAGTTTCAAGAAACTTTGTTTCTAGAGTGTTCATAGTAGAAAAATATTTACCAACATCTAAAACACTACAGACAATTATCCATAAACAGTGTGCTTGTCTGTCTTGTTACAATTTCTGTATATTTTCTGAACCTAGTGTTTACAGTGGTAATACGGCAATTGGAATAACGCAAAGCATTTGAAATGGGAATGCCCTTTACCATCTCAGTTTGCTGTACCATCTCATTTTGTGTTAGAAATGTCTTATGAGGGTATTTGGTTGCATGAAAACACCTGTCCTGTATAATAATAAATAAACTGTGGGAATATGATTCACTTTTATGTGGATTATTGTTATATGCCTGGGTAAATCTGTTTTAAATGTTAACATTTCGCAGGAAATTTTATTGTATCTAGATTTTTAAGCTAAAGTATAGACCTATATTCCAGCAGTCAATGTTTACATGTGCATTTATAAAAGTTAGAGATTCATAGAGATTATACTTCCCACTGTTTATTACTTTTTACAGGGAGTCTTACTGAATTAGAATAATGTGATGTTTGCACTTCTAGCCCAGTACAAATTAATGCCACTTTTGTTATGAGTGACAAAGAATAAGGCCCCTCCCTGCTGCTGACCCGGAGCTTTCAGCATGGCCTCTTGCCAGGGGAGGCTTTAAAAGGGTGGGGGCGCGTGGCTGCTCTCACTCTCACGGCAGGACAACCCCAGAGCATCAAAGCAAGGTGAGTCCCTGTCCCTCAGACAGTACAGGTTAGCCAAGTACATCTGCCCCAATCCCAACCACACAGAAATCTTTCAGAGTCTATGCATGTCATTAAAACATAGATAGGCCTTGGAGATAGAATTTTACAAAACAGGCTAGAAACACATAATCATATAAACACAATCTAAGGCCAATCAGGAACTCTACAGCTAAATGACATTGTTTGCAAGGCAAGGCTTTTTTATGATTTATTTCTTTCAGACAAGATGACTCACCATTGTACCAAGTTTTCCGGCCACTGGAAGGTATGTTTGTTCTGTATACACTGTCAAATTTTACATTTGACAAGCTGTGTATTAATAGTGTTAAATGCTGCTATAATCTAGTTATAGGTTATAGCATCTCACAATTTAGTTTAATGTGTGCTCTTTGTATCTTAGACAGCTATGCTTATTTTTAATGTATTGTAAATCCTACTATTTACAATTTGTGTGAATAAAAGCATCTATACACATGTATTCCAGATTATTGTCTACGATGAGGAGTGCTTTCAGGGTCGCCGCCATGAGTTCACTTCTGAGTGCTGCAATGTGATGGAGTTTGGATTTGAGAGTGTGCGCTCCCTAAGAGTGGAAAGTGGAGCGTAAGAACATACTGTACAATACATATGCAATGTCAACAATAACATAATGTAATGTAGAATCTTGTACTTTTCTATAATTTGTGTTTTTTATACACCATAATGCAAACAATGCTCTTAAAACAAGAAATGAGGGTATTTTTATTCTTTCTTCTTCAGCTGGGTGGGTTATGAGCATGCCTCCTACCAGGGACAGCAGTTTGTGCTGGAAAGGGGAGAGTATCCTCAGTGTGATGCATTTGGTGGAAGCAACGCTTATCACATTGAGAGAATGACCTCCTTCAGACCTATTGCATGTGCTGTGAGTAGAGCATTCCAAAAACCAACGTAATCTATAGTATTGTAACTATCATTTTTTTTCCTCTTCTGCAGAACCACAGAGAGTGCCGTATGACTATCTATGAGCGTGAAAACTTCCTTGGCCGCAAGGGTGAACTTAGCGATGATTACCCCTCCCTCCAGGCCATGGGCTGGTGCAACAACGAAGTTGGCTCTTTCAGGATCCAGTCTGGAGCGTAAGGGTCCTCAATAAATACCGTCTCTTTTTTCTTATCATCACTCCAGAGCTCTTCAAGTCTTTATAGATTTAGAAACACTCTTACAAATATTCTAATTCATTTACAGATTTGTGTGCTACCAGTACCCTGGTTATCGTGGATACCAGTATATCATGGAGTGTGATCGTCACTGTGGGGAGTACAAACACTTCAGGGAGTTTGGGTCCCACTGCCAGACCCCTCAGATCCAGTCCATCCGCCGTATTCAGCAGTAACCACTTATGCAAAGCCTTTTACCATGTAACCCCTTCTCCTTTGACCACTGCTGCTTCCTAGTGCTGAATAAACTGTCTTTCTTAAACCCTATTCACTTCACCAAAATATTTGTTTTACAAAAGAAATTGCTTAACAACTAACAAAATGAAAAGGAACATGGATTTAAAAAAAAAAACAAAAAAAACTTTGATGTTGCACAAATCATTGGCAAAGTGAAGCCAATAAGGTTACATAGGCAAGGTGTTGCTTTAGTTGTAGGCCTACATATTTGTGGTTCGATCCAAGATACAATGAAGATATAGTAAATGTGTAAGCCATGAAGTAGGCCGTTACACCAGTGTAGAAGGAAACCGCATGCTTACAGGAAGAAGTAAGGTTTGGCCCTATCCATCTACTTTATTGCATTACGACCGATGGCCAGGGAATGGCGCTGTATTCCCATTAAAACTACGAGTGACGCATTGTGGGTGCATACGATTATTTATTCCGTTTCATATCCTTGGTCTCGCATTCTCGATATAATGAGCAGACTACCTGTGTTAATTGGTGGATAACATCAACTAATAACAGCATGAACTAAAATGAGACCAGGGCATTATTATTTAGATGCAGAATAACAATACAGAACTGTTTCTGTTAGCATAAAATCGCTTGTTTTGAGATACCAGACGGTAGCATTACAAAATTACAAGAACATATTACCCATAATAGGCCTAATTACCTTTCCGGCCTGGATCCAGTATCCAGTCCGTATTTTGCAACTCTCCACGCCGCAACGAGAGGAAGTTGAAGCACCAAAAGCACCAGACACACTGTAATCGAAAATACAGAAATTACAAAGGATGAACTAAAAACTAGTTGGAGTCGAGATCTGTAAATGAAGCTGATTAGTTTAACACAACCCCGCAGATTATAGATACTCATGAATAGTCACAACATTCAACTGACCGATTGTGAGTTTAATTTTCGCCTGATTACAGTCCTCGCATGGTTAACTCATTTATTAGTTTTAACCACGATAAAAAAAAATAAAAAAAAAATTAAGTATGTTATTTTCAAACTCGAATAACCACCATTGGGCAGTCTAGTTCCATCATCTCCCAGTGAACCCTCCCCTCCTCCATCGTCCGTCTGCGCCACCATCAGCTCAGAAGCAGCACTCTGTGCATGGTCCTGTTGGCGAGGAGGAGAGTGTCCCTGGAACTCGGGAACAAGACAAGCACATATGGATTAAGTTGTCTTTTTGCAATATATATATTTTTTAACCCGGATTCTCTCGAAGGCTGCTCTGGGAAGAGTGCACATACTTCCTCTTTTAGACAGGCCACTTAACTCGCCTCCGCTAGCTTATTAACCAACTAAATCGGTGTCTGAAATCGTGCCAGTGTTAATCTTCCTGTGAGTGGTAATGCCTTCGACCAACGAGAGACACTGGATGCTTCTATGGGATATAAAAAAATCTTAGATGCGCATAGTGACTGATGACACATACCTCGCTTTAAGTTAGCCTACTGGCTAACAAGTCTCATTTTGCTAGCAAGTCTCGTCGAAGCTAACTAGCACATGAATCAAACGCCAAAAATACTAACGGGAACGGCGCTGCTCTGCATGTGTGGATTTTATTTTTTTAGAACCAAGACTAATTTTTCGAGTTGGTTTTGATACTAGATCACTTGATTTACTGCATCTTTTCGGCGACGTTTTAATGATTGATGAGCCGATAAGGAACCTTAACCATTACACAGGAAGCAGCGACCACGGCAACATAAACAACTGCAGTGCGTGGATTTCTTGGGCTCCAATCATGACTCTGGGCCACTCTTTCAGACGTGTATATTCGGTTTTGCTTCTGCCCTTACGTGTCTGATACTGGACCAAGATTTCTTTAGAGGAACGGACGAAGACACACATTGCACTTATACTCTTCAAGAAAGCCGTCGCACAGCATCTTTCAGATTTTTTTTTTCAAATGCGACGAGGTTTAATTTGTCTATTTTAAACGTTGTACGGAAAAGAAGAAGACTGTCACATTTGTGCAGTGCTGCGTGTGATCGCAAATTGTCTCGTGTGTGACCGAGTCAGCTCCCAACATTGCTTAAAATCAAAGGAAAAAGACTGAGTCGGATGCCGCACTGGTGGCAAACCAGTTCGTTTTCATCAAGTACACTGGGCCGACAAACTCCCCGAAACTTGTAGGAGTTGACAGCTGTATCGAGACCCATCATTTGGTACAACTGTGTGTGTGTTTTAGCCATATTAGAAGCAAGCATCAGTGCAAGCAAGGAAGTGCTGCGTAAAACACGGCTGCAATTCAGCACGCACCATCACAATTTTCTGTGCAGATTTTAGATTAAATGACGTTGTAAGGACTGTGACCTGCGCTGCTTGTATGCTTTTTGCATCGACCTGTCCCCCGGCGGTCTTTATGGCAGAAATTTGGGGTTCTAGATAAGAATTTAAGGAGAAATATACCCGACCAAGACAACGCCACATTTACACTCGACGGTGAACCGTGTCATTCGCTCCATTGATCCCGTCACACGCCTCGACCATTGATGCTGCTCATATCTGATGGACTTTGTATTCTGATCCCCTAAAACAACCTTCTCGAAACCAGTATTTTATCGATTTGATCATTCCAGGGTCGAAAGATGGCGGACCTCGAAGCAGTGCTTGCCGATGTGAGTTATTTGATGGCGATGGAGAAGAGCAAATCTACTCCAGCGGCCCGAGCGAGCAAGAAAATTATCCTCCCTGAGCCCAGGTAACTCAATTTCATCAGGTTTTAGTTTTTATTTTGATTACAATTATTTTTATGTGTTGCTATAAAGGGATTGAGGCGGACTTTCTCTCAAAGCCGTGTTATATTAGAAATAGGCTAATTAACACACAAGTAGGGCCCCTATGTGACAGCCATGACTGTATTATCTTAGTCAACTGTCTCGCAAACATATGGCTACGTTAGGGATATTAGCGTTAGTGGTTTTATATAGCTAAAATGTTTCGATCATTGCTTGTATGTGTCATCCAACATGCACTGCATGCTGCTGTGTTGAAGCCTGTTTGCAGAACAGTGTGGCCGCAGGCTAACACTCGATGACATTTTTGTTTACTTAAATAACCTAATTCATTCTTAATACAAATTAGAAATCACTTAATTTTGTGTGATCACTGCAAACACCTCTGGTCCAGGGCCAAATGGGTGCTCTTTGTAGCCTGGTGGTGTAACATGCAACAAGAGTGAAGAGGATGTGGTTACAATTTGGTTATTGGAACAGTTGCTTTTCATAGAGGCTTTAGTGAGCTGACGGAACTATTTGCTTTTAGTCAAATTACAACTGTTGTGTCAACAGTATGTAAGCCAAGACTTACTCTAGTTATACCTATGAAATTAAAAGTGTAATACATTTTTTTAACTGTACAATATTGTATATTCATGGTTACATTATGATTAATATTTTACATTGTTACAGGATAATAGTTGTGTGGTTTTCATAAGGGTTTGTACTGGAGGGCTTGTCCATTAGCAATGGCCAATTAGACCAATACTGGTAGATTTTAACTGTTAACACATTCAGTCCCTCTAACCACCACTAAAATGTATGCATAATCCTCCTAACCTTGACCCATTCAACTATGTAAGCCATATAGCTTGTTTAGATTTGATCCCTGTCCAGACGTAAAATTAATTGTAACCTGATCTTATATTTTAAAGCCACACTTAATTACAATTTATACATCAATAACTGACTCTAAGGTACTGTGTGATTGTTATTGAAGCAACATCTTTAAAGTTATGTATTTTTTTATTCTAGAGACCTTGAGCTATCATAGAAAGAGGAAGGAATAATTTCATCAAGTCCTAAGTTTATGAGATAAAATGAAAGTAACGTGTGATATGCTTTCATCAATTGCTTGCATTTTAAAGTTAGATATAGTAACCACTGAGAGTTTCCTGTCATGCAGATGCTCAAGAAAATTCATCAGACCATACAACTGCAGTTCAATAGAAACAATTGCATGCATGTTTTAAGTGTTAATGCATGGTGCCATAGTTGAACTATTTCAGCTCAGCTCTGCTCAGCTCATTTATAGTAATTCAAAAGAAATTGAGATGATTTGGGGCATGGGTCTGAGCATTTCCCAGTGAGTTACTAGTATTAAAAAAACCCTCAAACCTCATGTTTGCAGACAAATGCAACTGCCAAGGATATTTGTGCCCCCTTTCCATAAGAGTAAGAAACAAAAAAACAGTGCTCAAAGATTTGTTTTTTGAACACATGTTTGAAAAGAGTCGATTCAAAATCAATCCAATTTGTTTAAATGCATCAAATTTTCATACAGAGAACATTTTAAGGGACAACATATATTACTTTATGATGATGTTTAAATTGTTAGAACTGAGTGTTTTGAATATATGAGAATACCATGCAGCCACATAAAATATAAATTTAATTTAATGTCTTAAGTTTATCATGTCCTGTACATGATCATTTCTATTTCGTAAGAATCACCGTCATTTTTGTGGAAAAAAATAACTACTATCTTCGCTACAACATAAACAATATTAAGGTATTAATGGTGGTCTGAATACTTTCTGGCATCTCATTCATTGAGTCTTCTCTTGGATATTCATGTCATAACATTGGAAGCCAAGCCAATTTAAGATTGTTCAAGGATTGTTTTGGGCATTGGATCCACCTACTTACCACAGGTGTTACAACCATTTGATTTATTTATTAACTAATTGTCCTAATGCTTTTTAAATGGGGATGCACCGATCCAGCTTTTTCAGTTACCGATATTGATATTTTGACTTTAAGCATCTGTTGATACTTGATATTTACCTATACCAGTGTAGGGACAGAAAATGGCACTTAGTTCCCTAAAACACAGTTAACGTATTACACAAGAGATCCTATTGTTTTATGCAACTATATTCTTTATCCTTGAAATGACTCCTTAACAACTTTGTATCAAAAAAAATTCAGGCAAAAATCTGCCTGTACATCCAATTAAAGGTCTTACCTTGATACTGGGGTAACTGGTATTATGGAACCAATATCAGTGCATTCCTACTTTTATAAATCAAATTTGATAAGAGAAAAGAATTGTTGTCCACTTTTCCCAGTCTCAGTAGGAATGGCTGGAGGATGCATAACTGAGGTTGCAGAAGAGTGCTGTATCCTTTAGTTGTAAAATTAATTAATAGGTCACGCTAACAAATTTTGAAGTGTAATATATATATTGCAGGTATCATGATAAACAACAATACTGAAACTACTTAATACTGTTGACACAATAAACCAAAAGCAGGGTTATCCCAGTAAACCTTTTTAGAGTGATTCATATTGTGAAAAGCATGCCAGCAATACATAAATACTTTACTTGATGTTTATTAGTTGACAAAGAACAGCTCAAATATTACCAAATATCTTAATGCTACAAAAGAATCCTTTGCGCAAAGAAAAGATACTGATGATATTTATTGATCCTGAAAGAATATTGTTCTTTCCATCACGCATTGATTGATAAGTCGATATAGTAAGTATCATGACAGGCATTTCGATTAATTGGCCCATGGTGTCTTAATCAACCAAAATTTGTATTAGTCAATAAATCACTTGATTTAAATTAAAAGGAGTTGTATGCATGTTGTATGTAGTGAGTTAGCTGAAATGTTGGTATTAACATGTAAAATTGCAGATTAAACGATTCACAAGTTTCATCTGTCTTTATATACATTGTTTTCTAGTACTTCACCTTCCAAGTACTCTTAGACAGTTTTAGTCTTGTGAGTGCATTTTGGGTCAGATACATATGTATCACAGCCCTACCGTAGGTAGAAATTCCGACTTAAAAGATAATTGTACTTGTACCATTTCTTTCAGTCAGCACTTGACCTGACTTATCCCAAAACAAAATGAAGGCTGTGCTACTTACCTAATTGCATCATTATAGTTATCTGGTGTTTATACTCTGATTGATCAGCTGACTCCCTGCTGAGTTCAATACATTTTCACTGAACAACTCAAAATGATTTTATAAAATTTGAAACCCTTTATTGTAGACGTGGGTAGATCTGTGTGCATTTGTTACACAGTATAGATGTGGCTTACAAACCATGGCTTGTTGGTGGATGCCGTTAAATGTGGCACTTGGAAGATAGTGTGGTGCTGCAACATTCTCAACAGGCCAGGGCTGTGTCCTCTGGCAGAGAGGTGAGATTTTGACAGCAATACCAAAGACGGTCCAGATGAGAGGCATGGGGGAGGACAAATGGAAACGTTGTCACTTCAGTGAAAAGGTTTAGCCTAATAAAATGTACACTTTTGCGATTTAATTGTTAAGCTTAATTGCAAACAAGTTTTTTAGCCTTAGTGGTGGGATAACAGGTCTCTTTGTGTTATCTCCAAACTAAAGAATCATTTAGGTTTCTTTGTGTAAACTTATACCACTTGAAAATTCAGTATAGTTGGAGAGTTGCATCAAAATATGCAACATATGTAACAGAAATAGATTTCAGTTATTAGGTGTTTTTGATTTGGTAATACTGCACTCAGCATTTCTTTGTTTACTACTTGATTTGGTGATGATAAAAAAAAAACACTGTTGTGGTTAATTGGTGAGCACATATGATGATCGACTATCTACTCAAAGTAGCTGCTCAAACCTGGTTTGTCCCGTGATTCAGAGTTATTTGTATTGTAAGGGTTTTTTCTAGCTGTATTTCATTGTATTTAGCTATTGTTAAATATAGGAGACATGTGATTAGGTCAAAAATACATACTGCTGCATCATCAAAGCTGTTCCAATCAGGCTACAAAGGGCATTCAGTTGTAGCTGACCCACAGAAGGTTTGCTCTAGCTTTTGCCCTAATCGGGAGCATTGTGCCAAGTAAAGCCTCTTCTCATGACCATGAGTTTTATGTAGAAATGTTGCCAAAACAGAAAAATAAAGTTTGCATCCAGCTACATAGTAGGTTAAAATCCCACTAAAGTTATTTAGGTTCCTTCCACATCAGTCTTAATGGTGATGCAAGCAGAAAAGTTCATAGAGGGAGGGGGCAAAGGGAAACGTTATCCCAGGGACTTCTGGGCTCAGGATTGGATCTTCTTTCTATTATTTTCTATTAAAGTGGGCCCATGTGAGTTTTCTTGCCTTGGGTCCTCAAAACTGGTTACTTGAACTTGATTAAACTGTAAAATAGTATAGACTACGTACAGCAGTTTTTTGTTGTTGTTGTTGTTGTCAGGTGTTTAATTGTGTGCCTTATGGGTCATTTCGTCCTCTCGATCATCTTAGATTTGAGTGAAAAAATTGTGGAGGTTCACACACTTTCCAATAGGAACAGTCCCAAATTTTAGCTCCCAACTCCTTTATAGTATTGTCATTAAAAAAAATTTGTCAACTACCCCTTGACCTGTTTTGAGCAGTTTTCTGAGGAGCCACTTTTAGATTGCTATATCCAAAAAAAAACTATTTAAGGTCAGTCTTTAAAATTTTCAAGGGTTAAAATTTGGCAAATGTTCTTGTAAAATATGGACTTTTACACTTTGCTGTGGTTTTGCTTTATCATAGATTTCTGGGATCTTGAATTTGCTCAAAAACTCTACTCTTCATATATGAGGGCATATTTGAAGGACTGTGGAAAGTGCAGTTTCAAAGACAAAGGTTTGATCTTGAACATACACCTTCCCACACATGCTGTGTACTTTGTATTTTAAAACTGACCCTCTGTGATGAACAGTCTAGAAGTTATT